AAAAAAAAAAAAAAAAAAGGAGACAAACATGAAAGGCACAGTGAAACCATTCATTTTACTCATCCTCCCCTTTCTCTGTGCCTCTCACGTACAAGGCTCGCTACGTTGATGCAGTTGAGCGCGAGCTGCCCCCATCCCCGTGTGCCATAACAGCCCACTTGTACGCTGTGAGAAAGAGGCAGAGTGAAGGGGGAGGGGATAAACACGGGGAGGAGAGATGGAGAGCAGGCAAACAAAGAATGATAAAGGGAAAGTAAGGGAAAGTATGGAGTGTGGAGTGAAGATGAAGGCAAAAGAGGATAAGAAAAGCCTCAAGAATGAGTCTGTCCTTGACGACAGAGAGGACATACATTGTAAGGATGACATGGATGAACACATGGAAGACCTAGCTGAGCATTCTCAGTGCAACAATTGTCAGGACGGGTGGCATTGAGCATGCCCGCCATACACCCGCGACAAATGGCATGTCGATTGCAGGCCAAAATGAAAGAAAAACGGTCACCACAAAAGAGCATGCATTCAGTATAGCGCCCATGGCCGCAAAATGGACATATAGTGTCCGGATGCGGAGGGTGCCTGCAGTCAGGAATGGTGGGACAGTCCTCTGCACACATGGATGCAGAAACCATGCCATTGTAGTGATTGTGACAGAGACGATGGCACCTACAGCCGAGCGTAACAGTGTTTGTGGTTGTGCAAAGGAGAAGGTCGCGAGTGTTGGTGCATTGTTTTGCTGCAGCATGGGGCCAGAGGAATGATCTTCGACATAAAAGAGATTGCGGACGGTTTGTTGTGGCAAGAAAACAGCATCATTTTGTAAGAAATCAGTGACATCAATCATGGCATGGACCATGGTGCCGTTGTCCCACAGCTCCCAATGGTCAGAGGCATGTACAATGGCCATGTAATGGCCAGGGCCGTGCACAATGCAGGCAGAGATGTGGGATGGAGGATTAAACCACTCACCTGCTCGAGCATTGCGTAGTTCAAGTTGATGGTACCTCATTGCTACTTTTAGGACAGCAATGGTAAAGCCTCCTTCGCTGGTATAATGGTAAAGCCTCCTTCACTGGTATAATGGTAAAGCCTCCTTCGCTGGTATAATGGTAAAGCCTCCTTCCCTGGTATAATTACAATCCTCTGGCTGTCGTTGGGGAAGATCAGCATTAAGCTGAAGGGCGATTGCAAGGAAGTCTGATGGTGTATAAAACTGGAGATGGAGAATGTGAAGACAGATATTAGTTGCTGTCAGACCACAGAGATTGGTGAGGTTCGCAGGCTGGTTTGTTGGATGCTGGCCAACAATTTGCAGATCATCCAGACGGTTTTGCAAACCCAAACTGTGTTGGGTTGTTTGCTGGTCAGTCATTTGCAGATCACCCATGTGGTCTGCGTGTGGCAGAGGACAAAATTGTGGCTCATCCGAACAATGCTGGTCAGCCATTTGCAGATCCCCCATGTGGCAATCGGGCGGATCATGTTCCAATCCCTCAACGTTTAGGGCTGCATCCTGAGTAGGGACTGTACCTGGGCAGCGGCTGCATCCTGAGTAGGGACGGGTGGCTGCCTGCAGGCAGCTGGACTGTCTGCAGGAGGCATAGGAGCGGATATTGCTGTTTGAAACAAAGGAGCCGCAACAACCTGTGGAGGAGGTACAGAGAGAATCGGGGCAGACAAAGAAACAGGTTGCTGATCCCCGAACAAGTGACGATGTCGCGGATGTCGTCGGTGATACACAACAAGAGGAGTAGTGGTGTTGCAAACAGAAGTTGAACTTGTATCTAGCAACGCAGGTGGAACAATGAGAACAATGGAAACTGGAGAGTCTGTTCGCAAGCGAGAGCTGGTGAGGAGGAATGCAGTCGTCTACGGCCAAGCACAGACAAAATGAGAGGGGGGTGCGTTGGGCAAGATTTCGGAGCGAAGGACGTGAGCGTCGGAGAGATTGTGATGTTCTTTGCATTGGAGCTGCAGGACAGGAAGCTGTAGCAGTAAAAACTACAGTAGGGGGAATTACAGTTAGGGGAATTGCTGTACTGAAAACTGCAGCAGTGGAAACCGCAGCAGCGGAAACTGGAGCAGCGGAAACTGGAGCATTGGAAACTGCAGCAGTGGACACTGCAGCAGTGGACACTGCAGCAGTGGAAACTGCAACAGTGGACAATGCAGGAGCGGAGACTCCAGCAGTGGAAACTGCAGGAGTGGAGACTGCAGCAGTGGAAGCTGCGGACGAGAGCATCGTGGGGGCGAAGAAGAAACTGGATGATACAAGGACCATCGCAACATGCGTCGGAACCACTGAGAGAGACGTGTCACATGTGTAGGATAGCGACGTTGGCGGGAGCGTATGTAGCAGGTCCACCCCTTAGCAAGGGTTGGAGGGGAATGCCCACGCAAAAGCATACGACGAGTAGGTGTTGTTGCCGCAGTTCGAAAGTCCTGCCAATTGTTACAGATTTGTTCAAATCTGGTCAATTGCCCAGTGAACACACCAGCCGGTTGATGGGAAGGGTGCAGGTCGCACTTGGATAACGAATGACAGGAAGTCCCAAGCAGCCGCTTTATCAAAGATGCTCATGCGAAGCCAGCCATCGGAACGGACCCGTAGCTGCATACCTAAAAAGGTACAGGAGCCATCTGTAGCTGTAGTCTCCCTCCACTCAAGCCCTTAGTGTTCTGGTGGAGGAGGTAATTGTCCCCATGGAAGAACATCATCAATGAGGCGATAGGTGAAGGCATATTGTTGAGCAGCTTGAAGATCATGTTGACGAATGTCATCAACAACATCCCAATACAGCGTAAGATTAGAAATTTCTGGGCCAGCATTTGTTCCCATTGGAATACCGATAATTTGTTTCCGAAGCCTGCCATCTCTCTATATATAGTTCGGTGAAACTCCGACGGAAGTGGATTGGGCATTCGTTCCATGTGAGGTTTTTTTTGGGGGGGGGTTCCGTGGCTCTTGTTGGTACCCAAAGGAATGGCACTCTAACTGCAGGGGAAGACGGTAGTGATGGGACTGATTTGCGAGGTTACCATATGGCCCGAAGGCATTCCTACTGCAATCCCCTGTCGTTTCGGCGTACATGTCAGGCTCCTGTTGCTCTTCTAGAGGCATCTGAGCACAAAGATACTCCGTTATAATCCATATGAACTGCGTAACCGATTCAATGGGGGATTTGGACTTCAATTCCCGTTGAAACCCATTTGACCCCTGCTGATTCTGCTGAATTCCCATTGAATCCAAAACCGGGCCTCCCGTTGTTGTTGTTTTTTTCCCACGAACAAAGTCTACGGGGGCTCGAGTGCGTGGTCCAGCCCCCGTGCATGATTAAACACACACACAAAAATTCACCCCCCCCCATTGTGCCCGTTTTTTGCTTTTATTCTTTGTTCCGCAAAGTGCGCTCTTTTAGTTTGTAGTGATGTGACAATATATAGAGTTTGGTGAAACTCTGACGAAACAGTTCATCACAGCCCCTCGTTTGTTGTCCTCTTCTCCCTCTCTGCCTACCGGACAGCTCTGTTTGACTATATATATATATACATAGCCTCCTGATGAGTCAGTGAAACTCCGACGAAACAGTTTGTCACAGCCCCTCGTTTGTTGTCCTCTTCTCCCTCTCTGCCTACGGTTTACCGGGCAGTTCTATTTGACGATATATATAGGCATTCTTTTTTTTTCCCTTTGTTTTTGACTTTTTTGTCACATGAGTTGTGGGTGCAGATGTACATGGCTGCAGATCTTATACACTAGATCGGAACTGTACCAGCCTACAGCAGAGTTCGGTTGTCGAGAGATTTGAGATCTGGATATTCTGTTGGGTGGGTGGGTGGGTCGGTGTGGGTGGGTGTCTTTGTTAAAACAGTTGGAAACCAGGTCCAGTGTTCCTTACAAACATGAGGTGCACCCTCGCCGCCCCCCCGTTATTGCAGTGAGCGCCTGAGACACACCGGCATTGATTCCGTCCTATTCGGAAGGATGTAACACCGCTCCGCCCCTGCTTGCTTCCTTAGACCTTAGGGCCACGACTTGAAAATACTTGAGTTTCAAGGGCACCCTAACTCACGGAAGGTGATTAATTTCCCCTAACTTGTTTTTTCGTTCCACAACCCCTTGACGAAACCCTTGAGACGGCTGTCCTTGAAACTGAAGTGCTGACGTCATTGCACCACGAACAGTGGTGATTGGTGGAAAAAAAAAAAGAAGAAAAGAAAAAGGTCCGTATATTACCCGTTCTGAAGGGTGAAACCCTTGCTGCGCCGCAAGTGACCCTCCCCTCCGGTCACCCTTGGGATTTTCGTCGGTTTGCCTGGGCCGCACTTCCGTTTCAAGGGTGGACACTTGGCCGTGGGGATGTGGAAACAATTAGCGACTTCAAGGGTGCGCGATTAGGGCGGGGTCGAACGACGCTTCCTTGAAAAACAGCAATCTCCAAGTGGTGTCGAACGAGGCCCTTAGCTGTTACGATCCCCCTTGCTGTTCTCCTTTGAAGCCCCTGACTCCTAAATCGTGCTATTTTGACGCTAAGATGTAGAGCAATCAGAGGGCGGTCGGATTTGTACTGTGGCGCCTCCCTGCTCCTGCGTTGTTTGTTTGTTTATTCTACACGTAAAGTGACGTAATCACTTTTTTTATTAACGGTTTGAATCCTGGTCGAGTGTACCTTCACATCAGTAGTACTAACCCCACGTTCCTTCCCAGTAGAAGAAGGAAGAGAGAGAGAGAGCAAAGGTTCTGTCCGTCGATCCTGTCGAAAAATCCGCATGCTGTTGAATTGGGGCTCGATTGATGAATGCAAAATGGTTGCGTGCAAGTTTATGATGATATTCATATTATGAGATAATGATACTGATGATCACAGCAATTATTTTATATTATAGTCACTATAATTACTTGATTTTGTAGACTTCTGTGTGTTTCGTCTTGTATCGGCTTCTTTTTTTTTTTTTTTTTTTTTTTTTTTTTCGTTCTCTTTTTTTTTTTTTTTTCTTTTTTTTTTAATTCGGATCATTTCTCGATTTATGCGTGTCATCCTTGTGCTGGGGCTATGCTATGCCCCTACTTATCGTTCCAATTTTAACGGATGTCCCGAAGGACGTCTTGTATCGGCTTCTGATTTTGTGGACGTGTGTTTTTCCTTTGTATCGGATTGGCTATTGTGCGGAATGCGTTCTGCTAACAACAGGGAGACGGAGACAAAACAATTGGCTGCCGTTCTGCATCATCCATCGTTTAAACAAGACCCGTTTGCTGCAATTCATCAACACTTGCAGAACACACTGCCGCCACCTCCAACGGCAGACACAAAACCGTCAAAGAAGAGCTCGAAGAAGAAGGGGACGAAGAAGAAACACGGCGGTGGCAATCTGGGCATGGACACAAATTGAGAAGAATGTGCAGGGGGGGGGGCATTCAATGCATCTGTGTGGCGATAGTTTACCAATTGTATGGAGGGTGCAGGCAATCGAGCTAGTGTAGGTTCTCTTTGCGCAGAGGTTTGGGCTTGTAGTGGTTCGGGAGCGCGTTGTTCTTCGAAATGAGGGGATCTCAGAGGGATCAATCAATAGCTCGTTCCCCGGCCACCCCTCGCGACCTCTTTACGTACAATAGATGGTTTGCTGTTTTGAAATTGAACCCCGAGCTCGTACTCAAGGTGCAGGCAGGGGTTTGATTTATGGTGGAGCTTGCCTGGCACGACAAACCAGAGGTGCCGTGTGAATGTGTTGAAGCAATAGAAGGAAAACACTTAGGATGCAATGCAACCATCGCCTTTGCCACCGTAACACTGTCATGTACACAAGGTGACAGCGACGACGCATGCGCAATATGGCACAGGAGAGAGAGAGAGAGAGAGAGAGAGAGAGAGAGAGAGAGAGAGAGAGAGAGAGAGAGAGAGAGAGAGCTAGGTTACGTATATTGGCAGTTTTGAGAGGTTGGGGTGATGCGGAGGTGCATCAACGGCATTTACTGTATGCTCATGAGTTCTTCCCTTTTTCATGTCCGTTCTGTTCTATATGCTGGTGACCTGTTCATGATTTTGCAATTGAGTTGGAGCCATGAATGGAAAGCGAGAAAGGAGGCAGGCAGAGTGTGTGAATGGTCAGATTCCTTTGTATCAATATTCGTCCGCTCACTACTGTGTCGCTTTCGTTCTTGCCATTTGCACAAGGGTTAACGAGCGCTCGCGCTCGTGCGCGCAAGAGCCACACACACACACACACACACACACACACACACACACACACACACACAGAGAGAGAGAGAGAGAGAGAGAGAGAGAGAGAGAGAGAGAGAGAGAGAGAGAGAGAGAGAGAGAGCTCTTGACGAAGCCATCGCGGCAAAGCGATACGAACCCAGCGAAGTGCAGACCCGGGTGTGTTTTTGGTCTTTCCTGTCAAAGGGGCTCGTCTTCGTCGTCTATGGCAAGGCCCCCTGTTACTCCATGACGCGTAACATTTTGTATGGGCGCGCGGCTTGCCGTCCATCCCACGGTCTGCAGTGAAAATCGCGGAAAAGACCCTCTGCATGAGTCCCGCCCGCCCTTGCCCTCCTTCCCACGGTCTGCAGTGAAATCCATCCCACGGTCTGCAGTGAAAATCGGGACGACTCCAGGCGCGCAGCGTGCCATGGGCCGGGCTGACCTGGGTCTGTAAGTATGCAATCAATCGATGTTTCTGGGGGTACGTACTACGCAACTATGCGGTATGCAATTAATCAATGTCTGGTATACCGTATACCTCTCTCAATATCAGCGTGGCACTACATCTCAAATTAATGACCGGCATGAGTGAGTTAAATTACAAAGGAAATTGAAGGAATCCCGAGTAACCAAATTCTCAAAGTGGAAGAAGCAAGGAACATACGGACATACGGTTATGTAATGCGGCTAATGCCTAAATACAAGGATGTCACTCGAAGCAGACCAATCGTGCGAACATCATTTCAGGATCTTTCACTCAGGGCTTCAAAAATACTCGCGCGTTGCACTAAGACAGGAGCAATTGTCAAAAAAAAAAAAAAAAAAAACCTTCCTGGCAACTTCCAACGCACAAACGAGCTGCAGTGGTACGGCGGATAAACGCTCTCTCTTTTTTTTTTTTTTTTTTTTTTTTTTTTTAAGTTGGGCCCAGTGCCCAAGGGTGATATTACCAGTATGAATATTGAGGCCGGGGTCCTCACAGTCTACCCAGAATGACCGAACCGAAAATTTCTGAGAACCGCGGCGGATAAACGCTCTATCTTGCCCCATAGTGCAATTACAACTCGTTTATTTCATTATTTCATTATTTCATTATATATTTTTTATTTTTTAAATTTTTTTAAAGGCTAATTCTTTAAGCCCAACCAATTTACATCTCGTTTTCGTGACTCCCACGCAGTTACCCCCCCCTTTTTTATTTTAATCTTCCGATGGACCGCAGATCAGATCGCTTTTTTTTTTAATCTTCTGATGGACCACGGATCAGATCGCCTCTCTCCGCTGAGAGAGGTAGAAAGCTATGATGCTTGCATGGGTCCCCTGTATACTCTCCTGTAGGAGTAGTGGTAGGTAGGTAATGAAAGGAAAATAAGATATGTTCCATGACATGGCGCAGAATGCCAGTTAAAAAAAAAAGAGAGGTGAGAGAAAAATATATGGCTGGCCGCCAATGAGGAGAAGGCAGCTTTAAACCACAAGTACCTTTGCCTTGTGGGAAAATAGCAGTGGCTTTGGGTGGGCGTAACTTTTTCGGAGGGTCGAAACGAAACGACGGCCGCCGATCAGCTTTTTCATTGGCAGTCGTCCTCGGGCCTGGCCTCCGAATTTTTAGGAGTTTGGGAAAACTGCCACTTTTTCGGGGGGGTGGGTGGAGAGCGAAAGAGCTTTGTCACGTTTCTGAGTAGTGGAGCGAGGGCTGATCTCACAATAGTACTCCTAGGGCCTTACTTCACTACCCTCGACATATGCAAATTGAGAGTGAATCTTCCGCTAGAACATGGAAAGATACACAGCAATGATTTTTCTCTGTTGTGCATGTCAAGAGTAGTGGAGCGAGGCGCTTAGGGCCTTGGTGATTAGGTAGGGCAATAGCTCCACCACTCACCACTTGCACAAAAGACAAAAAGGTGAAGTCGTTGTTCTTTTTTTTTTTTATTTGGACCATTTCTCGACTCGCATGACATCCGTTAAAATTGGAGCGATACAGAGAAGATTAGCATGGCCCCTGCGCAAGGATGACATGCAGAAGTCGTTGGTTTTCTTTTTCAATAGATTTTTTTTTTTTTTTTTTTTCCGCTTTTTTGTGAGAAACGGGGATGCCACAGCGAGATACGTTTCCGACACAAAGTCGTCAGAGGGGGGGGTGTTCCCCTGGGTCGTGGTCCCACTAGGATGCGATCGAATGCCTGAAGCTGGACGTGTTTGTGGTGAGGTGCAGTGAATTGTGATTGAAATGCTTTTCTGCATCTCTGCATAAATCACATCCAGATTCAGGAGCTTGATTCTACCCTCTTTGCTAGTGGGACCTTGGCCGTGTGACTGGGACGAGTGCGAAGGGGCCTTTGCATACGCTGCTCGACTCATGCTCCCAGCAGCATGTGCGGCGGGCATCCGCTTGTCAGCCAGTCTTGATTTCATGGCGTCACCGAGAGGTGGGCGATGTGAGGGGTTGCACCCAACCTGCAGTCTGGCGTCGATACCGCCTAAAAAGTTTAGCGGGTAGACCTAGCACATTTTCGAAAGTCGAAGCAGTTTTATCTCTCAATATTGCTCAACCTGCACCACAACTCCAACGTACATGCAACGAACCCCAGCAAGGATAAGATACATGCCTCTCGAAATGAAGGGGATGAATATTGCCCCCACTATAATCATATATGTGGTTATGGGTTGGTCTTGGTGGGGTACACAGAAGGAGGGAGGTGAGAATGTGGGGACAATGATGTGATGCAAACGCGGGATGTTTCCTATGCCTAACCCGTTTCAACATACACATCCCTTTGTACATCCTTGTAGCGAAACATCTATGAAAAGTTGAAAACAAACTCACAGCTGAAATATCATGTTGCCCATCAAGACATGGAAATCTTCTAGAGTTCCAATAATTTTAAAAGTATTCTGTTTTTTTTTTTTTTTTTTTTAAGTACAGCCAGAAACTGCCAGAGTTTGGCATAAAATTTTGATGAACCAATGTTAAACGAATGTTGAAGCAATGTTGGACCTTCGTTGAAAAAACTTTGTTGTTTTAAGTTTCAGCAAGCATTGTTCTTGTGGTAGAAGTCCACATCGACAGATGAGACAATCTTTCGCCCACGTCCAACATTGAACCAATATTGAAAAACACACACAAAAAAAAAAACTCGACTTTTTTTTCTGTTGAACGGGCGACACGTGGCGGCCATCCCACCTATCGAGGTCTCTCGTGGACGACTTTCTCTATTTCCCGGAGAGCCGTTTCGGTAGGGGAGACGATGCCGAACAAAATGAGCCATGAAGACGTTGATATTGAACCGATCTTGTGGCACTGCATATCATGATGTTCGCCTCCTCCGCAGCTTGGTAATGCTGCTGCCGAACGTCGACTTCCCGTTCGAGAGTGTCCAAGATAGAGCACTGTCACTTGCTTGCGCTGTGGACGGTGCTCGTCATTAGCCTGCCGTGTTTGTTCATCACGTTGATAACGGCTTCGAAGGTCTGCTGCCTAGTGTTCTTCCGTTTCTCAGCCCCGTCACTGAGGGTCGAATCCTTCGTTGACGTCCGGTCGTCGTCATGCCCATCCCCCTGCCTTCATAATTTGGCGATGGCCTCTGCTCGACCACCCGCCGTTCCGGACATGTGGACCTCACCGAAGGCAATATCCATTTTGAACTCAAAGCCGACTTCTTTTCTCTCCCTCGTCCACAGCACGAAGAAGTCTCGTTTGGTGATGCATCTTGAAATTTGTGAACCCTCTTGATCTGCAAGAACACGCTGTCCCACTTTATCCCACGGTCGACCGCCTTCCTGTTCACGTCCAGCAGCAGCAGCCGCTTCTCGATGCCGTCGCACTTTTGTTCCTTGTTTTGTTCTTCATTTGACCGTAATTACGACCCAGTTCCGCCGAATGCGTTTCCTGCTCTCTTTTGTAGCGGATGAGAGTAGTCGTTTTTTTTTTTTTTTTTTTTTTTTTTTTTTGGGAAAAAAAGCCCCAATCTATTCGTGGGGAGCAGCACGTGCTGGGAACTGGGCCCAGCGTCCCATACAGAATTATACAGATGATTCGAGAAATGATTTGAGATACCAGGGCCATTACTTGGCATTCGGCTAAGAACAATCTGAAAACCATGAAAAAGTTCAAGAAAAATTTTGGTAGCAAACCTACCGACCTATTACAAGGTTTTTGCTTTAAAGAACCTAAAAAACAAGAAGACAGGAAAAGGAAAACCACCCCCAATCCAACTCCTTCCCCGCACCGCAGAAGAAAGACTAATGCCCAGGCCTTCAGTCCTCGTACCAAAACTCGCTAGATCTCATACCCCCCTTACTAGGGTGACAGGACAACCTCAACAGTCCCGTACCTGACCGAACTAGTTCTGACGGACAGGAAGTGTCTTCCCCCCTCGACACCTTCCTTAGCTGCACAGCCCCAAGTTACAGGGTCACTACCCCGGCATCAGCTACGTTGAACAGGATGGTTATGCCTTCCACCCTCGGCATAGCTCCAATGGTCTCATGCCCCCTTTGGTTACAGAGCACATGCTCCATCACCGACCATTGTCACCCCACCCCGCCCTTCTAATAGACCTACCACCCCGAACATCAATCCCTCCTCTACTCGGGCCCTACCCCCCTCTTCCTGCTTACCAAATCAATTTTGAACAGTTTACCAAATTTTTGAAATAGGAAATTCAAGTTCTGACATACCCCCGGGACTCCACAACACATAATAAGCTCACCGTGTGAACAACAGAGTTACTCCTTCCACAAAAACAAACCCGTTGTTCCTACACTGCCCCCAGCGGGAGGCACCCCCTCTCCTCCTGGCCCCAGTTTGGAACAGCCTATAAACGGCCACTTCAACCCTCTAAAAGGCATACAATTCCCCCT